TTTCCTGATTTTCTAAAAGTGGCTTTGGTAATCCCACTACATAAGGCAGGTTCCCATACTGACCCAGCCAATTTCAGACCGATTTCCCTTTTAAATACGCTGTCTAAGATAATCGAAAAAATTGTTAAGGACAGGATCGTTGATTTTTTAAACCGTCATAATTTTATTAGCGAATGTCAATACGGTTTTCAATCATCTAAAGGCACCAATGATGCCATTTTTTCTTTTCTCGAGAAGCTTTACTTCAAACTGAATGATAAAGAGTTTGCAGCTGCTGTATTTTGCGACTTCTCTAAAGCGTTCGATTGTGTCAGACATGACTTGCTTCTGGACAAAATGTACTTTTATGGCTTTAGAGGAGTATCGTCAAGATTTTTCAATTCTTACCTGACAGGAAGGACACAAAGCTTTAAATTTTCATTAAATAATTTAGACATGGCAAATTAGGCGATTGGCTCTATTGAAAGCACCAAGTTTCTCGGATTACATATAGATACGAACTTAAAATTTAACCAGCACATCTTGAACTTGAATACCAAGATAGCAATGGGAGGTTTTGCAGTACGACAAACCTTCTGTGGGCTAGGAACATCAATGGCCAAAATCACATATCATGCTCTGGTTGAATCCCACTTGCGATATGGAATTGCCTTTTGGGGTAATTGCAGCCAGTACTTGTGGAATTCGGTTTTCATTTCTCAGAAACGTTGTGTAAGACATGTTTGTGGAGCAGACCCGAGAGAACACTGTAAACCATTGTTTAAAAGAGAAAAAATATTAACTCTTACAAGTCTTTATATACTCGAAACAGTCTGCCATATCCATAAAAAATATAAAGATTCTACACACATGCATCCCTATTCAACAAGACATTTTAATAATATTCCAGTACCAACACCTAAATTCACTCTCACACAAAATTCCCTGATATATAAGAGCATTAAGGTTTATAATAAGTTACCTTATGATTTTAAAAACCTTAACAGTTATAAAGCATTTAGAAATAAAGTTAAATACATGTTGTTAGAGAGAGCCTATTATAATCTAGAATCTAGAAGAATATTTTGGCGATGCACTATAATCATAATTTTACATTTTTTATATTTTTTACTTCCTTTTAACCTGATTTATTGTGTTGTTGTTGTATTAGGATTAAGATTTTTAATTTTTTGTTTTTAGCATTTTTTATCTGTGGTTGTGCTCATTATCAAAGATTATTTTGTCATTATGAATGTTGTTATTGTAATATTTTGTGATTTTAAGTACAATCTAGCTTTAAGTATTGCTTTGTCAATGAAACTCTTATGTTATTTTCTGACAATAAAGCTTATTTTGATTTGATTTGATTATTTTGCTTTCAATTCTTAGCTAAGATTTGGTCGGTGCAAAGCAACTCAACCTAAAGGTTCACCTTAAGCTTAGCCTCTACCTAACTTAGTTTATTTTTAAGGAACACCGGTGCAAATAGCTGTAAGTGTCTGTTTATTCAAATCATCAAGCTTTCGTCTACCATTGCAGACTTCATCAGGACGCTAAAAATAACAATGAAAACTCCTTACTAAGAGAAAAATTAACACTTTTTTTTTTTTGAAGGCAGAAGGCCCAATAAACTTACTTGAAATTCAAGACAGCTCTATTGCAGTAGTAAACAATATATAATAGATAAATGCATAACGCACTTTTTCAGAAGACTTAGAACTTGAGAAAGTCATGTAAAAATCTGGATTTCAACCAAACGCTTATCAATATAACAGAATACGACATTTAAGTAAAAGAACGGACATAATTATTTTGTAAAAACACTTATCCAATAGAGAATTACAACAGATTAAAATAAAAGTAATATAATTAGTTAATAAATCATCAAAACGTTCAATTGAAAACACAAATCAGCTGGAGAAAACTGACAGCAGACAGAAACGAGTTCTTCATGGGAGTTCCAAAAATTTGTTTGTAAAAATTATGTCTTGTTTGGATTGTCAAGGCAGTTACATTGGACAAACTACACAGTGGTTAAAACAAAGAATTACGCAACATAAGAGTGATTGCAAATTAAGAAAAAATACGTGTGCCACTGTGGAACATCATCTGAAGACTGGACATCAGTTTGATTTTGATAATATTAAAATATTGGAAAAAGAATCAAATTATAAGAACCGTTTATTTTTGGAAATATGTCATATCAATACAAAAAAAAAACTCTAAGTTGGATACTAATAACTTGAGCAACATCTACTGCAACATTTTTCATCAATTAAATACCTTCTAATACCTTTTCTATCATTACCTATTTTTAACAAATCAAGTACCAAAATTATACCTTATATTGTATGTCATATTATTTTCTGTTTCTTGTCAATCGTTTTACATCTTTATTTCTACTTTTATATTCTATACAATTTACTTACAAAATATTCCACCATTATTGATCCAATCTTGATAAATTCATTCTTAACACCTATGTACTACTCTGAGCATTGTAAGTAATTTTATTATTTATTTTATTATTATTATTATTATATTCCTTTTACATTTTAAGTACTCCTGACGAAGTCGAAATAAATTGACGAAATATTGAATTTAAAAGCAATTGAGTATTAATATACTATACAGACCGCATACCCGAAATATCCAGCTAATAAATTTGTACGGTCGAAATTAAATCTTTCAATATATTTATAGATGTATAATTTATTTGAAGGTTTCATGTAATTCTGCTATTTTCTTTCTGTTTTTATGGAATATTTATTCAAGTAATGTAGTGCAAGATCGGAGGATAGCTTTGTTTTTGTTTGTCTTTTGTATTTTTGTCGTTTACCATCTAAGTTTGTAAAGAACCCTTTTATTTTTTATCATTACAGTGTCCTGAAGATGCATATAAATTTTGCGAAACGTCGACTTTTTTAAAAACTAGACTTCTGCGTTTTTTTTTTCCGATCCTACCCAAACAATTGAAAATACTACATTTGAATTTAACCCATGATTAAAAATTCCAATTGAATTTAATCTCCGATGAACAGTTGAACTTAGGTAAAGGCTATATTGCACGAAATCTGCTCAGAATTTTACGTAGAATCCAAATATGCAATCACTTACAGGGTGTTCCATTTAAAAAAACAAAGTTCTGTCGCATACCCCATAAACGGAGCACCCTGTATATTCAAAAATATTTTTAACAAATGCATATTAGAGTATCAAACAACTTTGTAATTTAATTTTTTTTTTCTTGCATCACCCTGTAAGGAAATATCGTACGATATCGCACTAAGTAGACACCCTGTATACTTGGACTTTTTCATCATATCAATCATAAGAATTGTAGAATATCATTTGATAAGAAATCCATGAAAACAAAAGGAATTTTCTATTTTATATATATATATATATATTTTTTTGCTCCAAATTCCATAGATAACCCTTAAATATCACCGTAAACATTTTTTTACATATTACAACTTTTCGCCATCTAATCCCACCTTTCGCGTTTCCATATCCAAATTTTCGAATTTGCCGACATGATAGTGATCAAGTGACCGATGTCAAAATGTACTTTCAGGTTATCCTCAATGAAGTTATCGGACGTGCAGAAACGATCGCACATAAAAAGTTCGCATATCCTACACAAATAAAAAGTATTCCCATTATAGTGGACACTTTTTGTGAATTACACGTTATGATAATCTCAAAGAATCGGCAATAATTTTCAAAATCCTTTGATACAAACATGTTTTTAAAAAAATCGACATTTTGCGTGTTAGTTATTAATTTATAGAGAATAGGTATGTTGGGTAGGGTATGGGTTCTGAGCTTTCCTTTCAACTGGGCAACTAGATTTTTGAACAAATTTTCATCGTTAGTGAAGACAATTTCTACTGGTCCAAAATGTAACTAACAACAAATAACATAAGAAATGAGAATTTTGGTCATGGCATTTCTACAAAAAATTAATATAATAAATAATTTTTCAGGAATTGACTTGTTAATTTTGGAATGTTTTATTTTGATTTTTATGTTGCAATTCATAACCTATTCTTTCTTAGATTGACTATTCCCTCTTGCCTTTTGTGCACAATAAAATTATCAAATAACGAATGGTTTTGGTAGTTATTACTCCACTGTCACTCAAAATTAAAGATGAAACGGATAGTTGGCTGGCCGGATACCGGATATTTTTCGAGAGAGAAACTACTTTTTTGAACTTCAAAAAAGTATAGTTTCCTCTTTTGGATTCCAAACCCGTCAATTCTCTACAAAAAAATATATTTTGCATCGTTTTAAAAAACTCAAAATTTTGTTATTATTTAGCACACAAAAATGTATGTATTAAATTTGACTTTAGAGAATTGTGTCGAAGTTTTTTAATATCCGGTATCCAGCCGGATATTGAGTTACTATCCGGCATTCGGCCGGATATTGAGTTACTATCCGGCATCCGGCCGGATATTGAATTTAGGCCGGATAACAGATAGTTTCCGGATATCCGTTTCATCTGTACCTACTCAAAATGGCCAAATTCGGAGGAGGAGTAGGCGCAGATCCGTTCTCACATAAAATAAGACTAATAAATTACCAACTTTCCTTTTTCTTATGTTATTTTCTCTTTAAAAGGACATAAGGTGTTCTCATATAAATCTTGGTTTATGCATACAGCAAATAAAATAAGAAATAAATAATTTTTGACCAATGAGAACATACCTTTCAAAACCCCCTATTGTTGTAATAACTTTATGTGCAGTTGTCACAACAAGGTGTTGCAAAATTGATACACAGGAACCTTGAGTTTGAGGTATCTTTTCTTATTTCTTATGTTATTTATTTTCTGTATAAACGCTATAGGTAATGGATTCCCATAAGGTCAACATTTATTTCCTATCTGTTATTTTATCTTATGCGGTATCTTATTTTACCTGTTGCTGTTTAAACCCATCTTAGAACGTCAAGTTTTTCCAACAACGGCCCCTAAACAAGTCAGCAATAAATTTGACTTAACTTCATTCTAGGTGTTTGTGAACAAGCCCAAATGCTAGTGAAGCCTCGAAACTTGACGCCATAAACTTGTCCCATGCAAAACGGAAATCAGAGAATCGTCTACTAAATTTGTTGGAGCGAATAAGTCTAAATGGCAGTATTACCAGAAGAAGTAGTTGGAAAAGCAAAAATGAATCTACTTAGTTTTTTAACTACTGGCAAACTTCAAATTACTAAACTTCCGAAGCCCACTACTGGTAGTTGTGATGAGAAAATTGATGAGGAATCAGCAAAAGGAAGATTTGGATGGTTTTCTATAGAAAAAATAGATGTACCATATATAACGCGATTGGGAGAAAATTATTGTTCTGTCCGGATGGTGGAAAAAGTATTAAGAAAATGGCTGAATCATTTACATCAGGATATTTACAACTGTACAAACATAAGAAGCTATTATATTACCGAGATTGAAGCCCAACTTTTTAATGAAATAAATTTTAAACATTGTGATACTCAATTTGGTAGAGAACTATTTACAGCACGGGATTTGATAGTGAAACTGACTGATGCAAACGAATTTCACCAATTTTTAGGATATTGCTACCATAAGTTAGTCAATACTAAAGTTTATCTGCCCAACCGGTGTGGATTTATCCAAATAAATAAACAATCTGTGGTGCCCTATACTATATATAAAAGCCAAAAATGTCTACCACTTTTTTATTTCGAAGGTGAAGTAGACCACCTTAAACCTCTTACAAATAAAATAGAAGGATGGGATCTTTCGTATTTAAAGTTTTGTTGTAAAGTGCAAGGGATAAGAAATGAGCTATTTGCACATGATTCTTGTTCAGTTATAACTTTGAATGATATCAAAAAATACTTCCCTGCTGGAACAGTTTTTGAAGATTACTGGCCCAATAACACTTTAGAACTCTCCGAACTTTTGATAAAAGGAAGATCACGTTTACCACAAAATGTCCTCTGGAGTAGGCCAGGTGCTTCACCAATAAACACAGTTGCACGTCCAAGTTTTAAACAAGCAACACAAGTAGAAGCAGCAACCAATCGACCAATACAATAATTTCTATATTGGTTACTGGTGGTCAATCTGCATACCACATCACTCAATCCAAGGCAGCCAGATCTACAATTAGAAGTTATCCATGTTTCGCAACTAGACAGGCAAGACCTGCAGGAGTTAATTACTGTTAAAAAACTAAAACAATTTGATTTATTGAAATTGATTCTTTAGTCATATACTTTTGGTAATATAATTATATTTATTTTAAAATCTGGTATTCTTTTTATTGGGATTTTGGTTTGGATTTTTTATTGTGTTTTTACATAAACTCATATATTTTTGGATGAAATCCAAGAAAGGAAAAAATGTTAAGATATTGCTCACTTTTTACCAAACAAATCGTGTTAGCTGGAGAAGTACCTATGTACCTATACCTACCTTCAATCAAGAAGTTGAAAAATAATATATCCTTCATTTCTGATGGTGTTTATTATTTATTATTTATTTTTTTTGGGTGTAGAGTCCGCATCAAGAGAAAAATACGGTGACGGCAAATGCGCACAAACCCAATTTTGAACGCTAACCGAACTTTGTATTGATCGGTGCCGCTGCCGAATACCGAGCACATAGTTCATTGTCGTACGGCCAGCAGTTTTGTCTAAAAAGATACCTGCCGCTGGTTTTCCGTTTCGGCAGACACGAGAGAAAGAAGAGCGAGGGAGATCGGACCCACTTCGTGCAGCTTACTGTGTCGTCACCATACTCTTTTCTCTTGACGCGTTTTTTTTTTCGACCATTTAATTCAAAAACACATTTTATCGATTATTGATTCCATTGATAATTTATTGAAAGATTTGGGAAAATGAAATTTTTTGTTTCTCATGGTAGGAATAAGGTACCAAAAACACAAAAATAGCTGGGGTTAAACCTCATATACAAATTATTTCTGAAGCTATACCTACTTATTTAGTTGTGAATATGATGATATAGGGTATCACATATGGTTAAGCCAGGCAGTGGCGTAGCCAGCCTTGCGGGGCGGAGGGGGCAAACACATAAGGGGCGGGAGAAGATAACAAATGAATGTTTGTACTTTGTTTGTATGCTTTTGTAAGATTTGCTTATTGAGGGAAAATATTAAAGAGGAATGGGGACAGAACGGGCGCCGCCGGAGGCGAAAAATTTCCTTGGGTGCTACGCCCGAAAAAGTTTATTTCCTTCAAAAACATTTCTTTTTTCGGGTGCCACGGTGCCACGCCGAAAAATATTTATGTATTTTAATCCCTACAAGAAATAATGTGTGGACATGTCGTTAACTTCAAAAAATCCTTCCGAACGCCTTGAAAACCAGAACAAATCCGGGGAAATCCGGACGGAGGACAGCCCCATCCAACCCATTAACCTATAGTTTAATGAACAAATACTATCAAAACAGAAACTATCTCCTTTCCTTAATGCTGACTTACGATAAAGAATAAAGGGTGCAGAGGTCAGTAAGATAAATAAGAAACAGCATAATTTTATAATTTCTTATTTTATGCTTTTGTTTTTTAAGAGCGGTAGGGGCGCCATACGTGTAGACGGCCGTCGCCCCCCCTGCCCCCCCTACTGGCTACGCCACTGAAGCCAGAACCAGCAGTTTGCATGCAGAGTGTTCTATAATTCTTCCTAAAAAAACGAAACTTCTTCTTTGCTCAAACAAGGGCTTCGCTCAGCAATCATTTAAAAGTATGGATCCGCAATAACATATATTTACGTATTATACCTACTTCACTTTGCCAAAAACCTATTCCACTGTCTCTACTCTGCTAGTAATAATGTTAGGTTATCGGCCACAGTCACATGCGAAGGCAGGAGCTATATTGAAGATCTTGGAACGTTCAGCAGTTTTAGCACAAATGTTCAGAGAATGGATGATGAGAAATATAAAATTTCTCTCTTCGATGCAAATAACTACAACTGGAAGTACAGTTTGGAAGTTTCATTAGATGAGGAAGATTTACTTAGTTTTGTTGAAGGAAAATATACAGAAAAAATAAAGTTTGTATCTGGTGAGTCCGAGAAAGAGAAAACTAAAAAGTAAGCCGAAAGTCACAAAACTGAAAAAGCTTTGAAAGGGTAGGAATTGCTAGTCGGTTACGAATAGGAAGGAAATTGCTTACTATGGTTTTTTGACCTTCAGAACAGAGTTTAGAAGCTAATTTTCTAGGATTTGATGAACTTACTAGAGAGTTTTAAATGCTTGAAAACACTGGTGCAAAGTTGGAAGGGATGGACTTTGTTTGGCACTTATTACTCACAATGGTCACAATTTATATTCAAAAATATACTTTCCTTGGATTATGAGTATCTCTATTTCATATTAAGTTTTTAAAATGTTTGTTCTTAAAATAATTAATTTTCAAAATAAATAGATAAGCATGGGCGTCGTTACGAGGTTTCTCAGGGGGGGGGGCAGACCATTTCCATTAGCGCCGCAGGCAACCACCGTAAGCTAATTTTTTTTAGTGCCACGCCCCTTTTTGAGCATTTTAAGGTACTTAGTTGATATCGATATTTAGTTAAAAATGATGGTATTTTTTTCCGCAACAAATTCACTGTCCGCATCATTTGTTCAGTGGCGACGCCAGGGGAGGGCCAGCAGAGGAGGCCGGGGCCGCCACTGAAATTTAGCCGGCCCCCCCGGAAAACTTGCTCTCATGTCGGCAACAATGCAATGTAACATCAGCAGCCTCTGTCGGGTAATTCGGTATTCGGTGAGCACAGTCCAAGAATCGTAAACTAACAGGAATTCTCATCCTCATAAGGCGTACGTTCGTCAACTCTCGAGTCGGCAGGGCCTGCGAGTGACGTCACTACTAATTAGCAGCATAACAGCTTATAATGATGACGGGACCCGCAGGCCTCGATGGGATGCTTGCGATTCAGGTTGTGCTTGTTTTTTCGTCAATTTTAAATGTAGAAAAGGTGATTTTAACAAGATTATAACGATTACTGTGACCTGTGACTGTTTTAAACTCGGCTAATGCATTTTACGCTAAGTGTTGAGGTGTTCGGCTGGGATGGCAGACATTTTCAGCTCAAGAAGCAGTCCTATTAGGTTGAGTGTTCTTGGGCACAGGCAACTACGATGCTTCGGTTTCCTGGGATTACCTCAAACATAATAGTGTCGACAGGTACTTCCCATTTTTTATTCCAAAGAAGAAAAGCAGTAAAATAAAAACAAATGCCCCCCCTAAATTTTTCTGGCCCAGTATGCCCCCCCCCCCCCCCCTAACATAGAACCCTGGCGTCGCCACTGCATTTGTTTAGGTAATTTTCTAATGGCCGGTATTATAAAACACTGAATCGATTATTGAGTTTCAACTTTGGGTTGACTCCATCATCCAAATTGATAGGATTCAACCTAAGGTTGGAACTCTACCATCGGTTCAGTGTTTTATAATACCGGCCGTAAGTCAAGTGAAATTCAATTCCGTTGAATGTAATGAAAATGTCAGCCAATTTTTCACAGTACCTACCTAACAAATTTTGAAAAAACGGAAAAAAGCAATACGAATACGAACTCTCTTTTACTGCTTTCTTGTTCAAAAGACTATTTCTAGGGGGGGGGGGGGCAAATGCCCCCCCTTGCCCCCTCCAAACGACGCCCATGTAGATAAGTAAACTTAGTCTAGAATAAATGTTGAACGCTGGTTCATTCCTGTAACCATAGGGCTCAAGTCGGCCAAGTTTGTTTACCAGTGGCGGCGATGTTAAATGATAAAATTATTAAACATTACATATTATCAATAGTAATATAAAGAGTGTAATGGAAATTATCGATAATTTTTGGGAAATTAGTTGAAATGGAGCACTCGGGCACCACCTTTTTCATTTAAAAACGCATGAGTACAAATTTGTATTTTATGAAAGAATTTCACGAGTCAAAAATTTAATTGAAACCATATGTGTGTTATTTACAACAAAACAAAACAAGAATAATAATATCAAATTTCCTTTTTTCCTTTTTAGCCGAGTAAATCTGTGGCCGAAAGTCGCTTAGTTTTCGAGAAAAAAAAATTGGCGTAGAGCCAAATCAAACGTGGTAGGTTTTGTTAAGCATGTCACTGGGCATACGAAATCTAAAGAGCTGACATTTTCCCGTGGTCTCGAACTTTGTTACGACAAAAAAAGTAAAAAAAATATATTTTTAATAAAATGTCTTTTTTTTTGTTTCCACCGTCATATCTCCAAAACCAATCAAGTTATCGAAGTAATAATTTTTTTTTCAAATTAAAGTACACACTTAAGCCCTATTAATAGTGCCTTCGCTCCTCACGAAGTTCTCCCCTTTATTTTTTTTAAAAATCGGAAAATCCAGAAATTACAATTTCAGGTCTTACAATTTTCACCAATCGACAAACTTTTTTATTTTTGAAAATTTTTATATACATACAGCGAAGCAAATGATGCCAAAACATGACAAAAGTTTTTGAAATTATTAGTTTTCACCCAATATCTATCGTTTGGTAAGAGCAAATTTTCAATTGCGCGCCAAAATAATGTATCGCGTACGCTCACGCCATGGCTAGACAACTCGACTACTATCTGTGCTATTGGCGGGATTAAGAAATTGAAAAATATTGTTGCTGTCTCATCGAAATTCAATTTCAAACTCTATTTTCGATGTTCTTAAAAAAAATATTGCCGTTCTTCATGGGCGTCCATAGAACTCAGCGTTTTCTGTAAATTTAAAGCTTATTCCATAATCCATTCAGCAAAAAAATTACCCCATATCTGTCGTTCAAAGCCATTTTTCAAATTATCGTCAAACATTATTTGGCAGTCAAAACATACGAGAAAACAGGAAGATGAAGGCGAAAAAACAAACATATTTGTTAAAAATTTCAAATTCTAATGAACTTCCATTTATTTACATTTCCCAGAGCAGGATAAAACGAAAATAGACGTGAATAGCACTATACCAAATGGAAGAACCGTGCTGCTGACCACGGTATCCTATTTGACAGACCAAAAAGGATACCAAAGTCACGGTGACGACATCTTTCCGTATCCGAAATTGGTTGGTATGCATTTGACAGACCAAACAGGGTACCAAACCATGTATCAAAGCTTGCCGAAATCGCCTAATGTCAATTTGACAATTATTATTTATTGTGTAAACAACTTT